ATATAGGTTTCTGATCCAAACCAATACAACAATTTCAAACTTTTATAATCTTAATTTTCTAATTTTTGAAAATGAAACATGCTTTGATTGGATACTGAAAATACCTTTGATGTTGCACCTAGAACATCGTTGTAGTTCAGATTTCCATCTGGAGTAGGGGTCGTAACCACAGGTCCCATCGAACCCTAAGATCAAAGGAGGCACCCGATTTACGAAAAACATCAAAAGATAAACCAACAGAAATATATGGTTGTCACAGCCTATTAATGAACTGCATAACATAAAGATGTAAGTGTGGCTCCAAAACTTGATACCAAAGAAAATATCAGAGAAAAAAATTTCACGACAAGAGGAACAAGGATAAAGTGATCAACAAGAAATAATACCTCAATCAGATCCTGTATAAACAGTGCACTCCAAAGCAAAGAAGGTTTCGCTTCTGTAGTGTCGGTTTGAACAGTGGAACTGGTGTCAGTTGCGCCCGAGGAGTGTATTGAGAAAAGACCATCAATAGCCGCATGCAGAGACTTTTTTCCTTCAAGAGCATCATCACATACAACTGAAACGTAGAAAACAAACCTGAAGTATAAACGGTCTTCCATCAGTTGATTATAGCAATAACTATACAATAACATTTACTCCATCACCAAAGGGCCTTTGGCCTTGTGGTATGTGAGTCTTTAGCCTCCTGGGAGGTCAGGGGTTTAAACCTCATCAAAAGTGAGGAGGATGTGTGAGTTTATTTGTTATTTGCCGTATATAACTATTATATACTTAAAAAAAACATTTACTCCCTCCGCCCTCAAAATAAATGCCACAATGAAAACGGTACATAGTTTTAGAAATGTGTAATTATTTGTCATGCACCCATCTAGTGGCCCAAGCCCATTCCTAAGAATATTCTAGAGTAGTTAAGAAGGGTAATTTGGGTACTAAGAATAATTTTGGTTTAAATAGGGAGGCTGTAGGGAGTGTGAAGCATGCAGAAAATTAGTGAGTTCTATATGGGAGAGTCCTAGCCTCTCGAGTGCTAGTTTGTTCTTCGCTTTCCTTGTTCATTGAAGCATCTTACAGTATCCTTATCTCTTGGTTTCTATATTGATTGTTCAATCATTTCGGTTCATAACATTATAATTATTGTATAATTAACTAAATGACAATTTTACCCTTATAATAGAGAATAATGAACTTTTCCATCTCCTAATTAAGGGTACTATTGGAAAGTACTTTTGAAAGACACTTGTTTTGGGACAAAGCAACATAGAATTGTGGACACTTATTTTGGGACGGAGGGAATAATAAGAAAATAAAAAGAATTAAAAATCTTACATGCCGGAAGGACAAACGGCTAAATTGCTCCCTAGCTGAAGAACCCGGATTGATGTAGCCTGATCAGGGTACAGAGCTAAAGAGAAACCAGAGTCAGATAGCATGTCTAAATTTCAACAAGCTAAGGTATACTGTTACAGTTCGATCTTACATCTAGGAGGATATATGACCAGACAGTTTGATACGTCCGGCTTTAAAGAACTCTTTGCAATGCATATTCCACGGGCCAACTTCCCACTGACATCTCGAAGATCAAAGACATTAGAAACATCTTTGGGAGATTCTGAAGATGAATTAACCAGTGGAGATGCTATGGTAATCGATGGATCCATTACCAGCTGATGGCTGGTTAATTCCTGGCCAGAAACCAATTTCACGCCTCTATAACTGCCACCATCCTGAAAATTTCATCAACGAAAAATAATAGATGAGGTATAATATTAATAAATATACGGCTATATGATATCATGAATGATGATAAAAATAATAATATTTGAACAAACCTTGTTCAGAAGTACAGATACCACTGGCATTCTCAAAACCTGTCATAAAGTACTTGTTACTAGAAGCAGAAAATCAAAAGAGAACAACTCCATCCTGGAATAATTTACAGTAGCCATTTGTAAATTAATATTCTAGCAAGATCAAGAAAGTAGCAAAACCATACAGTCGTTTTATGATCAGCAAAAATTTAAATTTTTCAGTGATGCTTCATCCACCAGCTTCCGTGACTTCAATGTGAACAGAGTTGCAAAATTAAATGATCAGACTTCAACTGTTTCTCCAGATGAAGTCGAGAAGGAACAATACAGATACAGAATATTATAATTACACACATATATCAAGTTTTGCATGAAATATACTAGACTGATCAACAAAGAAAGTCAATAATAATGTTCCTCCGTCCCAAAATAAGTGTCCACAGTTCTGTTTTAATTTGTCCCTGAATAATTGTCAACTTCCTAAAGTAAATGCATACTTTCCAATTCTACAATTAATTATGAGAGAGAAATTAATTACTCACTCTATCATTAAGGTTAAAAATTGTCCTTTAATTAATTAAAAAGTGTGATAATTACGCATTTCTAAAACTGTGCCTCTTTTCCATTGTGGACATTTATTTCGGATCGGTAAGCTAAGGTTAGGGGACTTACATAAAGACACCCTTTGACAGCAGCACGTCGGCAAAAGGCTTGCGGCAGCTCTCCTTGGCCATAAATGGGGTAAATCAATGCGCCAAGTGCATTAGGAAACCTAAATAGCCACATAGTACAGGATGTGTTCATGGGAAAATGGTACACAATCACCATAAGGCATACGGTTTCTCAATCACTAGATACAATTCTATGTTAGATATACGAAGGGTTTCAATTTTTTCAAATGAACGATTTGAAGACCTAGTGATTCTAACATTGGATGTTAAAATGCTTATGCTTTTAAATACAGTTTTTCATTCTTTCCCCTCTAATATCTCACAGATGTCACCCTTCTAAGTCATTGCTAACTATGCAGAACACAAGATCTTTATCCAAAGAACAACAAGCATGGCACTAGGGAGGTCACTACATCAGAAAGAAACTAAAACAGGCAGAGAAAAAAATGGACCTTCCAACTGATGAGTGATAAAGGGCTAAACGATCTATGCCGTCTCTTGTCCTGAGAATATCTTTACAGGATTCTCCACCATCTTGATCATAATCAACCATGACGATGGCATAGAGAATGATCCTACAAAGAAAAAAACATGTAATTAATTATGGTTTTTTGCACAAACAAATATAAGCATCAAAGACATGTACAATAGAAAATTACGATTTAATCTTCGGAGGCAATTTCATCTTGTCCAAGAACACAACGAATGGACTCTCCAAATCCTCATCTGAAATGATCTTCCCATCATCAACATCAACACCAACACCAACAGACTTAACAGCTTCAAGATGCCCCTGTACCAGCTTAAAGAAACTATTTAATTGATTTTTCTCACTGTACTTGAGCGTTTTATCCTTAAAAACAGCGCTCTTCGAATCTGGCACATTCATTAAGTTACCATTTGCATCACCTACGTAGCTTGCATCAATATTCTTAAACTCAACATACTGATTAGCAGTTGATTTAAGCAATAAGTTCACAGCAAGGTCGGCACAGAACAAAACCCTAGGCCCTGCCAAATCCAAATTGAACTTTCTAGAATGTTCCTCAATGGAATCATCGTAAGAAGATATCTCGATATCGGAGTAGAGAGGACGAGTGGTGACATCAAGGGTGGCGTTGTGATCTGAGGTGTGATCCGAGGTGTCGGATTGGTCAGAATTGGTTTTAGGGTTTTTGGATTGGGCGTGGAGGAAGGAAGTGAGGTCTTGGAGAGTGAGAGAAGAGTAGTGGGAGCCGTAGAAGGGATGAGGATCAAGGTGGAGGACGGTTTTGCCGGCTGTGGAGGCTGCTGCAGCAATGATGGATTCCGGCAAGCCCGTGCCAACAACTATGAGGTCGAAGTTGGTTGGCTCAATAGGTGGGAAGGATTCTGAGTCCGCCATAACGATTGTTCCCACTTCACTGCTGCTTCTCTGTGGCCTCCTCGCTGCTGCTTCCCTGTCACCTCCTATTATCTGTAATCATAAGTCTCCGAAATTTAACGTTTTGATTTGTCATTTGTGTGACAACAGTTACGTATTAAAAGATTATAAAATAACGGTTGAAGTTTTTAAAAATATTTGACTCCATACAACTTATTCACTACTAACCCGACAGTTTCTGAATTTTAGCTGGGTGTTTGTGGTTGGGGCTAGGCGATCTAACTCCATTTTAAGAAACCAAACCTCAAGTGGCAGTTTAAGAATTTTCAATTGGTGCGGTTTGGCAATGAAGTGATCAAACTGGACCATAAAATGCGGTCTGGTCTGACTGATCTACGTGTTTTGGCTTATTATGGGCTTTAATAACAGTGAGATTCTATGATTCCTACAAAAATGCACCCCAACTGTATTTAGTGATGTCGTTTTCTGTTCCATCCTTTATGCATCAAGATCATGTCCAGTGCAATACCTGTTTGTAAAACAAAGGAAGCACACATTTGACATTTGTACGCAGGTTTAGCAACAATCAACATATGCATAGGTGAATTGGTGCAAATCATATGAACTGATGCAAAGTGCATTAGGTTTATCTTTACCTAAAAGGCACCACGAACTATATAATAAGCAGCAAGGTTCACGGCATTGATTTTCAATCGAGTTCCATCCTACAAAAAGGGCATTCGAGTGGAACAAATGTTCCCAATTCACAATCATGTGCCCATGCACTCATGATGGAAATGGTCAGGATGTAGATATAGTTAAAGTAGGTGTTGGTATGTTTGTACAGCCTTGACCTGTTATCTATTACGACAAAAATTTACAATTCAGGATGCTCTTTTATTCCTATAAACCAAGTGACAACACCAAAACCTCCTGTTTGCAACATATATGAGACCACAATGATATGGACCTCGCTACATATAAAATATGGAAGAAGATTATTAATCTTGCTGTTATTGATGGCACTGCGGCATTTTATCAAACACCTAGTTAGCAAGTACAACAGACAAATAAATTGAGTCGATAGCAAACATTACAACTTTAATCCAAGTTAATGGTAGAGATCTACAAAGAAATTTAGTTGAATAAAGAAGCTTAGATCACCAAAGACGAATGCAAAACAAAGTGAATTGAGATACCACATCAACAGAAGGGGAATGCAAAAACAAAGTGATAGAGATACCAGAGCCGAGGAGATGACAACCAGCAACCAACCTAAATCAATAAGCAGAGGAGGACGACCAACAACCTAAATCGATAAGCAGAGGAGGAGGACCATCTACCAACGAGCAGCAAATTTGACGATGAGGGGTGCATAGATTTCACGAGAAGAAAGAAGGGGCAATGGTGGAATCCTGAGGTCGCTGAATGATACGGGCATTCTATTTTCTTCTTTTTCTTTTTTAAATTTTAAACTTCATTTATGGTGTATGTGTTTTTTTCTTTTTTTCTTGGTTTTCGTATTCAAAATTCATTCGATATAAATTTCTCATCGTAATTAATGATTTTGCTTGGCTTTGACGTCTTCAATTTAGGTAATGTATGGTATTCAAACTGGATGGGACAACACTAATTATTTGTCTTATGTTTGGTACGATCAGGACAGGACAGGACAGAACAAAATTGTTAAAATGATCATATTACCTCTAAATATTGTTCAATGTTATTTTATATCATATAATGATTGTAAATGGCAACAAATCAACCAAAATATATTTAAATTATTTAATCTATGATATTAATATTTTTTTAACATTTCAATACCACATGTAAATAACATTTGTCATACCACAAATTTTGAATACGAACATAATTTAAAAAGTTTAAACACAACAATTGTAGATAACATTTGTCACGCCATTGTCAAAAGTTTAACATTCCAAGACCACATGTCAAATATACTAAAAATATCACAAAAGAACAATTGTTTTCATCGTCTCCTAAAGCATGTCAAATGTACCAAATTGTAAGGGAAAGCAAATAGATGAACATTTGAATATAAACATTTCATATATTAACAAGTAAAACCAAGTGATTCCGGTCCATCATTACAAAATAACAAACACAAGAAATGGTCTAAATTTTCTTTGAATCACATTTCAGGCATGTTGTTACGGAGTATGGCAGCCACACTTGCTTTTCTTCAAATCCCTACTACTCTTCCCTCTAAATCATCACATTCACAATGCTTAATTCCCTCCCCTTCCATTAAAATAAATCTTTCCAATCATCCCATTACCCTCCACCACTTGAAGTCTGCTTCTCTCCCTCTGTCAGCACTCACGTTATCTTTCCTTTTAAATTGGGATATTGGAAGGGAGATCATTGGCCTTGATTCATCCAATTGTGATGGGTAGTCTGTTCGCTTACACACTATACGCTGGGTACTTGGGTTGGCAATAGAGGAGGGTAAGAACATTACAAGATGAGATTAATGATTTACAGAAACAGGAGAAGCCTGTTGCTGTCACCACTGAAGTTGATTAGGGCAAAGCTATAAACTGATCATTTTTCAAATAAAATGAAGCTAAATGAAATCCCCCTGACTGTGCATTGTAAATCGAACAGAGAAAGAGAGTTCTACGAGATGCATTGTAAATCGATTTCTCTGTTTGATAACCATGGAAGTGAAGATGGAGGAGAAATTGATAACCATAGAAGATTGAGAAGAAATCGTACCTAAAATGGAGGCTGGAATCGAGTTCGAGTTCATGGAATGGAAGGTTTCGAGAATGGAGGCTGGAATCGAGTTCGAGTTCGTGGAATGGAAGGTTTCGAGAATGGACGCTGGAATCAAGAATGGAGGTTGTGGAAGAGAAAAAAAGGATGCGATTAAATTAGTTTTGTATTTTGATATCAAATAACAAGGATAACATTGTAATCTTAAATTTAGTCTCGTGTTGTTTTACGTTTTTTTGTGGAACAAAAAAACTCAAGAATAGTCTCATCCAATCTTACTTTTATCACATGTTATCCCATCTCATTTTTGTTCTATGGCACACTAAACATGGGACTATTTATTTTTGTCTCGTCCCATCCCGTCCCGTCCAGTCCAGTCTGCGTACCAAACGTAAAAGGTGTCCAAAACTTAAATCCGAACGAAAAAATAAGGCTTTTTGACAAAATTCGGATGTTTCAAAATTTGAAGCCTGACTATTAAGAACTAGAAGGGTGCTCGCATAATATAGCGAGATATATCTCAATTTTAATGTTTTGTTTTATTATTTATCTTTGTCGATATATAACGATTTTTAGTGGTTTTGAGAAAGTAAAGATGTTTTTATTTTTGAATAAAATATAAATTTAAAGATATCATAAAAATTTGAAAAAAATATATATATCGATATTAGTATCAAATTTACTATTTAAAGTTCTAGTAATTTCTTTAATTTAATATTATATTTATAATTTAATTTAGATTTAATAACAAAGTAATTTATTTATTGTTTAATAATATAATATTTTATAAATATTATAATTAAGTATTTTGTTATAACTAATGATTATCTTAATTATATTTTAGATCTTTTATATTCAAAATGAGATGTTTATCTCGTATTTGATTGTGTTTATCTATAGTTAGTTACACAAATTAAAAAATGACGCTTTAATAAGGTGTACTTACACACAATTTACCTGTAATTTTGAATTTAAAGTAATATGCATAATGCATCAATAAACAGTAATTTATGCATAAAAATGGTTTTTAAGAATTTTTGTCAAATACTTTATAATATAGTATAGATATTTGGTTTAATTCTTGGCACCTGACCTATCTGAAAATCCAAAAAATATATAATATATATGTAATACATATTATTTTTAAATATTTTATGCATTTATTTAATTGTCTTTAAAAATCTTAATACTCGGTCGTACTCTTTTCTAATTCTTAAATCTACTATCGATTTCATCAATTCTTTCAATCGATTAAACATATATAATTTTTATATATAACTTTACCCGAACCCGACCGATCTCAATCTGAAACCCGAAAAACCTGAACTCCAAACATATCCAATCCCAACGAGAATAAAAGCGCAAGCCTGATATGAAAATGGAGTTCAATCGTCGAAAGTGAGATCTCTTTTAGTTCGGTCTTTTGCCCCTTTCTTCTTATTAGGAAGATAGGTTTGGAACCCTACATAAGGGGCTGCTTGGTACGAATCGGATTGAGAAGGAACTCGTCTTGGGGTGTCAGAGCGGGGAGGGAATGTTTTCAGTTGTTGGAGTACGACTTTTACACGTGCAAGTTTCCCTGCATGTGGCTCGGAAATTGATAGGAATTCCATGGGGATTACTTTGTCTTCTAATATATATATACATATACATACATACACACACACACACACACATATATATATATATACATATGTGTGTGTGTTTATTTCAGGCCTGTTAGAACTCTCTTCAGTCTGCTCCCTGAGAAAGAAGGAAGTGCTTGCGCCTTTAGGAGCTAGTTGCCTTCTTACGCCTCTAGCCCTTCAAGTTGCCTATCTGATCCAATCGACTCTTTTCCCTGCCCCCAACCCCTCACGTCATTTCGTTCTTCACAATTGAGGAGGCCGATCACGAACGCGATTAGATACCCATGTAGTCCATACCGTAAACGATGAGTCAATTGTGCTTTATTTGTCTCACGCAGGAAAGCATGAACTCAAACCAAAACAACTCTGAACGTTAGGGAAGATAAGAGAGGATTTTGGTTCACTCGTGGGATCCGAGCGTTCCGGGGGAAGATTTTCTTTTAACTCCTTTGCGATTACTTCAAGATTCTCACTTGCTTTAGGGGGACTCAAGTAGATTCCCTTGGCTTTTTGGATGAAAATATACATTTGATTTTTCAATAGAAAAGTGAACTTCGATTTCTTGGAAATCATCTCGGGTTCTATGATTTTTGTCCCCTTTTCGTTGAAGCCAAGAAAATTAAAAGAACTAGGTACCCCGTGCTAAATGCAGAGGCGCATAATAGATCGATATGAACATTATGAGCTAAAGCAACTTCAACGATGCAATGAGACCTGTGAGAGGAGGGCTAGCCTGTCCAACAAGTAGATCGGATGAGGTTCTGGCACTTCTTCCTCTGGCCCTTTACTTACATAGTGAAGGCACCTATTTGACGAAAGGGAACGAACTTAGTGCCACCCCCGACCAAGGGAGCGATTACGTCCATTATATCCCCCTTATTCCCCACATGCTGCTCAACATTCCTCGAGACCAAGGACGGGGTCGAACCAGGGCCGGTCCTGATATTTTTGGTGCCCACGGCGAAAAGTCCAAATGATGCCCAATTAAAAACATCCAAGTGTAGTAATTTACAATTGTCTAGCTTTTTCCTTCATAGACCGAGAGATCCATTAGTGTTTTTTGTTCATAAGTGTGATCTTATAGTTGAGTGTTTACTTTAAATTAATATATTAAGGTTTCTTTAATCAAGTTGTTATAGCCCTTGCGTTTAAAAACCAACTCATCTACTTGTTTCTTTAATCAAGTTGTTATAGCCCTTGCGTTTAAACACCAACTCATCTACTTGTCCAAAACCAAAATAAGGAGCATCATAACACTAACTCGTCTACTTGTCCCATTTACTACATCTCACGTCTTCTATATAAACCAAAATCGTCTTCTAAATAAACCAAAATCAACACTCGTATCTTCTCAATCCAAATCCAAACACTTAATTGGTTGGTTCTTCTTCAATTATTTACACTCTACAACATCAATGGCTCATTCCTACTTCACTGATTTTGTCCTACTAGTTTTAGTCACTTAAGGTGTTTGCCTATGAAATTAGCTATTGCATGACTCCATTAGTCCATCATGTGTTTCATATAATCATATTTAGGGTCTTGACCAATGACAATCATGAGTTTCATATGTAAAATTGCAAAGTTAAAGGAGACAGTCAAGTGAATTAGTTACTGCACATTCAAGTGAGGGCAAATCATCACTTAACTACTGCACATTTATAGGTCTGTTCAACTATATTATAGTTGCTGAAATTGTGTTAATATACATCAAAATCTAATGGGATTAGAACAAAAATCAGTGGATGATAACTTGAATATTAATCACCAAACGAAGAACTAAAACTTCAGAGATAGGCTTGATTGATTCGATGAACAACTAGATCAATTAATAACAATAGTATTCATTTAACTTTAAACAAACATAAAAACTTACTTGTGCAGTTGAAGAGTCAATCTAAGAGAAATCAACAATGCAAGCTTATGATAATTTCTGCAGCAAATTACTTTCCTCTACCTCTTTTACTGTACCTAGGTTGGGATTAAAGAAATAAGGAATATTAACATGTCAAATAACCAAACTTACAATAAACTCAAAACTTGAAAGTTCACCATTAACCAAAGACTCGGCTTCCCTACACTTAGAAACATAAATGACAAACCACAAAGGACATTACAGATACATGATACAGTATGTATAATTAACAGTCAGCCACCCAACAATTAACAAATGGCAGCAAAAGGCATGGATTTCAATTAGGGTTTAGGCATACATGATACATTAACATTATACATACAGACTAACAGACATAGAGTGAAGTGAATCAAGTGATACAGTAACACGAATTAGAAACATAAATGACAAACCACAAAGGACCAATTTCACAGCTTCATACTTAGGCTTTGCAATCAAACAAGAATTAGAAACATAAAAAAATAAAGTAAGTAACAGACATACGGTGAATTATACATACATCTTTAACAGACATACAGTGAAGGACTGAAGTGAATCAAGTGATACAGTAAGTCAGTAACAAGAATTAGAAACATAAATGACAAACCACAAAGACCAATTTCACAGCTTCATACTTAGGTTTTGCAATGAAACAAGAATTAGAAACATAAAAAATAAAAAAAGTAAAGTAAATAACCCTAAGTCCCTAACCTCACAAGTCACAACTCACAAGAGTCAAGATGCGAGAGCGAGAGGCCGAGAGCCAGTCGGCCGTCGGCGGTCGATAGTCAAGACACGAGAGAGGCAGAGAGAGAGCGAAAGCCGATTGAGTCAAGGCCGATTGAGTCAAGGCCGATTGCGATTCGATTCGCGAATCGTGAATCGGTTTATGTTCGTGAGTTCCGTGAGCGAGGTGAGAGCGAGAGTCGAGGGAGTGGGGGAGGACAAATTGAAGGCCGATTGACATTGTAGTGGACTAGTAATGGTAATACCCCAATCAAAATTGAACCTGATGGCCAAAATCCGGTCCCAACCGGTCCTTAACCGGTTCCTATCGGTCCTAATCAAGACAAAAACCGACGGTTACCTGTCCTGCCATAACCGGTCCCGATTTCGATGAAATACCTTATAACCGGTCAAACTTACTGGTAACCGGTTAAAGAATCCGGTCCCGGTTCCAGTCATGGCCAAAAAAAATATTTTTTTTTCAAATTTTTATTTATTAATAAATTTTTAATATGTTTGTAATATGTTATTTTTAATATGTTTTATATAAATACGTTTAAAAATATGTTTTGTTATATATATATATATATATATATACACGTTTAATTTTATAA